AGGTTGCAGAGCTAGTGGAATTTCTGCAAGCATGCATCAATGAATTGAATTTGTTTGCTTAAACTGATAGCCAGTGTAAGATGGATACATGAAACATGTACATCGAAACATGTAAGTGTAAGATAACATGTACATTGTAAGATAGAAGTTCAGTCAGAAGAGCATTGCAGTAGTCCAGCCCTGAAATAATAGGAACTTGACGAATAAGAAATTGTACAACAATGTTAGTCAGGAAGGCTTTGATTTCTCTGATGAAAGTACAAACCTGCATTGTCATGCTGTGCTTGTAATGTAATCCTTTAAGGACATGATTCCTCACAGAATTAGCTGGTGATCCCAGCTGGATGGAGAAATTATGTTGAATACAGCAGGGAAGATGACAGTTCTGTTTTTGCCAGATTAAGCTGTAGGTGATGGTCTGTCATCCATGCCAAGATATCCTAAAGGTAGTGTAAGATGCATGCAGCTACCGATGGATCATCTGGCTGAAACGAAAAATAGAGCTGTGTGTTGTCAGCATAACAGTGATAAGACAAACTATGTGATCGGATGATGGGTGCTAGTGATGTGGTGTAAATTGAGAATAGAAGGGGACCAAGAACAGATCCCTGAGGTACCCCTGTGACAAGCTGATGTGCTTTGGACACATCCCCTCTGCAGGCAACCCTGAAAGATCTGCTGGTGAGGTAAAACTCCAACCCACACACTGGGATTCCAGTAAATCCCCATTGAGGAGAGGCTAGATCCGCATCAAAGGTAGTAGACAGGTCCAGTAAAAGCAGAAATGATGATTTAGAACCCGCTTTATCCCTCCTGCTTGTGTACAGCAGGTTATTCTGAGCAAGAAATTTGGAAAATTATTTGGAACATTTTTTGTGTTAAGTTTTTTTTTTTAGCTAAACATGTTTGATCATTTTAGCCTCTCAAATCAGTACCTGAATCAAATAGGTAAAACAAGCCTGGTACCCGGCCTTTGTATGACCTGTGAGCTAAATATTGACTCAAAGTCGAGCCTCATTAGTCTTGGGCTGAAATCCAGGAAATCGAAAGTTAAAAGGGCGGCACAGTGGCTCAGTGGTTAGCACTGTCGCCTCACAGCGAGAAGGTTGCTGTTGGCATTTCTGTGTGGAGCATGTTCTCCCCATGTTCATGTGGGTTTCCTCTGGGTGCTCCAAAGACGTACACTATAAGTGTATTGAAGAAACTAAATTGGCTGTAGTGTATGAGTGTTAGAGGGTTGTGGCTGGAATAGCTGGTGCTTCATTCCGCTTGTGCGACCTCTAATAAACGCAACCAAAGGAAAATGAATAAAAGAAAGTTGAAATTCAACTTTCACATAATTTTAGTTTCATTGCACCCAATACCAGAGGGAGCACTTATACAGAAAGTAGTAAAACTAATTGGTTTACACTAAAATATAAACAGTTAGGTCCATAAATATTTGGACATCAACACAACTGAGGCCTGGCAGAGCACCACCAAAAATGAAATCCCATGTCTGGTGATGTCTATGCATTCCAGACTTCAGGCTGTAATTGACTGCAAAGGATTGTCACCAAGTATTAAAAAGTGCAAGTTTGATTTATGATTATTATTCTGTCCAAGTACTTTTGGACCCTTAACAAGTGGGAGAAAAGTGCAAACTGGTGTAATTCCTACAGCGTTCACCTGATTTGAATGTAATTACCCTCAAATTAAAGCTGACAGTCTGCAGTTAAAGCACATCTTGTTTGTTTCATTTCAAATCCAGTTTGTTGGTGTATAGAGCCAGAAATGTTACAATTGTTCAATGTCCAAATAGTTATGGACCTACAGTAACTGTATATTTTTGAGCAATATCCAAACATCTTTGTAGATTAATAAAATGCTGATTAGATTTTGGACATTTTAGCTAAACATGAAGGAAGTCTATATATCTCTATATATCATGGCAAGGATAATGTATATTTATAACGTAACACTAATTGGCATAGCCCGTAACACTGTATAAAATACTTTAAGACAATGCAATTTCTTTCCCAGTACTGTATTGCAGCTGGAAGGGCATCCGCTGTGTAAAAGATATGCTGGATAAGTTGGCAGTTCATTCCACTGTGGTAACCCCTGATGAACAAAGAGACTAAACCGAAGGAAAAATAATTAATGAACAATGCAATTTCATAAGAAGCCACATCAGTTCACAGAATTCATTTTTGTCAAAAACAAATTGACAATAAGCTAAACTAAAACAGTTTTAGCCTCCTCTGATAAGTGCAAATCTGATATAGTGAAAGCCCTTGTTTCTAACAAGTAGACAATACAATGCAACACAACATACAAATATCAGTAAATACTGAGGAAATATATTTTTCATATTTATACAACAGTGTAGTGGTATTTGGCTTATAAAATGGGTTGGACGCCAGAGGTAGAAAACCCCACTACCGTTACTCAAATAATTCCATTAAATAAATTTTAAAAATAAAGTTTCAACAAATGTATGATTTAATCAAATAAACTAAAATCAAATGTTCTACCCATCAAATCAATATATTATTAAAGGAGAAAAAACAAAGCAAACAAGCTTTAACTTCAGCACATTTTAGCTTAACTCATAAACCAAACTAACTTTCTAGGCCTGAAATAAACTTCCTTAAAGATATAAATCAAGTACATCACTTAAGAATATACAAAACCAATATTAATCAAATTTACGCACAAACAAATAATAATATTTCAAGGCCAAAATCATCAGACATAAACAAATTTAGTCGAATTTTAACTCGATCTTACAATTTTAGTAGATTTTCCATTTGTGCATTTCTATGGTGTTTCTGAGAAGACCAGCTAAATATATATCCAACACAGGCTCATTCTGAAAACGTAGCTCTATATACATTTCTGGAGGCTGTGAATTATGTAGCCAGAGGTATGCATGGTGGCATTTCATCTTTAAAACGAATGCTACAGGCCAGAGTATAACACCGTTCCTTTTTGCACTTCCCAGCTAACCGGTTACCTCTTGCTTTCCCGGCGTTAGCAATTTGTCTAGTTGGCTTGCCATTTACATGGGTGAACTTGAGAAGCAGAGAGGAGCTGACCCCAATGACAGGATTCGAATCCGATGAAGAACGGTTCCAGAAAGTGGGTAAGATAGAAACAGAAGCAAAAAAATTTAAAAACAGGGTGAGAAAAATCAGGCGAGGGCTTTTTTTTTTTTTTTTTTTTTTGGCTTTTTCTGGTTGGGTTTAGGGAAGTTGGTGGCCGGGTCAATTTGTGCTTTTGAAAACATTATTGGTTGGGTTTGGGGAAGTGGGTGGGCGGGTCAAAGGAAGGAGGAGGGTGGGTCAGTCAGTCAGTCAGTTAGTCAACAGCGGCCTCTGGTGGATTGATGTGAGAACAGCTGGCACGAATGGCACTCGTAAGAGAAATTTTATATCTGAAAAAGCGTACATGGCAGCCTCTGGCATATTCACGAAAACAAAAACAGCTACTGGAATGTATTTGGTGCTCTCCAGAAATGTATATTGTTTAAATGTATATCTCCTAATGAGTACTGTAAACTTAATCTATTTGAGTAAATGAAGCAATTTGAGCACAGTAAAACCCAATAAATGAAGAGAACCAACTAATCCAACTTAAAAAACTAATCTATACGAGTACTGTGAACTTACTCCATTTAAGTTGAAGTAATGAGGTATTTAATTAACTACTTAAGAGTTGAAAACTCTTTTCAAATGAGTAGAATTAACTTTCATTAAATTTTGAGTTAAGTTGAATGATGGGTTTTACAGTGTAGCGGTACGTTTTCAGAAAGAACCTGGGTTGCATATATCAGTAGAAACGGTTGTTCATGAACTTCCTTTTGTTGAACACAAACTAAACATGTTAAACTACCTGCCCGTAGAAACTTTAAGATTTTGCTATATTGACAACACTAATAAAAAGGAACAGGTTTTTGTTTTGTGTTGTTTTTTATACCATTTTTTTCTTTTCTTTTTTTCAAAGTAATACGATTTCATGCCAAGCATCTCTGGAAAGAACCTGAAGCTCTCTCCGCTGCTGCTCTCAGTGGGAATAACCTTGATTTTATTACCACAGAAGCACTTCTGTCTGTTGTTTACTGCAGATAACAAACCCCTTTTTTTCCAAATCATGTTCCAAAGTTGTATTGCTCAGGCAGCCAAAACGAAAGCCATTATTTGGCCTGCAAAACTAGATCCAGACTTTGTGTGAAACATGTTTCCATAATCAAAAACATTCCCCTCAAGGGTGCATGGTATCATTCATTAAAACGTCCTGCGATATTAATGAGCCTCGAGATCTACACAACCCATTGCTACCTTAGCAGATCTTTCAAAGATTAAGCAGTCAAGCAGAGGAGATGATGGTTGTCAGGAGCTTTTCAATAAGATCAATGTTTGCCTCAAAGACTCTCTGGCAGCAGGCTTTCGTATTGATATTTACTCTGTGTATTTTGTAGTTAATTCATAACCTCAAGTTCTCTGCGAGATCCCATGGCTGTTTAAATCGCTCAAAAAAACATCAATAATACATCGGGCTGAATCTTTTGAGAGCTGATTATTGCAGAAAAGCTAAATGTTATGTAAAAATACAGCATCCATTATTATTATTGGCACCAACACAACCGCTCCGTTTATTTAAGCACGACTGCATGTCTAATATTTCTGCCTCTTCCACTTTTTATGGCATGTCCTCATAAAGTGCTTGTGTCTGTACTAAAATGAATGTTAATAGAAAGCTAAGAGCTCCAGGAAAGTGCTCTGCTGTCAGGGCACGCCGTCACCTCCAGTCTCTCTAATTAGCTTATTTGGCCGGATCTGAAACTTGATGTCTTTTTCAGAAAAAAAAAGCAAAGGGTTTGACTTGAATTGGATATGTAAAGCCTGTTGAATCTATCGGGCTGACATGGTGCTTCGTGTTGTTGACTGGATGTCTGAAAGTGGTTGTTTTTCATAAGTCACACGCGTTTTTTTTCTTCTTCTTTCCCCGTCTCTCAGGGACTCAAACCAATGGATCACAATGGGCTGTCAGATCCCTATGTTAAGCTGCACCTGCTGCCTGGAGCCAGTAAGGTATGTGCTTTTCAGCCCGTCGAGATGCATTGTTTTATACAATAATAGAAGGAGGCTTTAGTTATATAGAAATATGTGGTTGTCAACCAAGTGACCTGATTAAAATTCCATGGGGGCCACGGTATGAATTTAAATTATTCAGATTTACGTAGTGTTCTTAATCAAATTTTTATTAATATTAAAGTTGATAAAATATAAATGATTTTACTTAACTTGAACAAAGCATGTCCTGGAAGAAATGCATAAATCATTAAGGGAACAGAAGATTTGATTCCTCAAAACTATTTTTTATATTAGGAAGGCGATTTGTTTTGGGTTTTTTGACGATATTTTTTTTAAATGAAGGAAGTTTTAATCAATACTTAAATAACCATGTGTGTGTGTCCACAAATGTCCCCACAAGTATAGCCATGCCAGTAAAGTTTGATCTTGTGGAGACATTTTGTTTGGTTTCCATGTGGAAAATGGCTCATAAGTCACACAGAATGAAGTGAATCTTGAAAATGTAAAAATGCAGATTGTTTCCTGTCGGTGTTGGGTTTAAGGGCAAGTCCCCGTTATGATAACTGTCTGTTATCTGCATCTGTTTCAGATGCAGTGTGGCCGTTATTAGGGATGTATAGATTGATGGATGGATGGATGGATGGATGAATGGATGGATGGATGGATGGATGGATGGATGGATGGATGGATGGATGGATGGATGGATGGATGGATGGATGGATGAATGGATGGATGGATGGCCATTATTAGGGACAGACAGACAGACAGACAGACAGATAGACAGATAGACAGATAGATAGACAGATAGATAGATAGATAGATAGATAGATAGATAGATAGATAGATAGATAGATAGATAGATAGATAGATAGATAGATAGATAGATAGATAGATAGATAGATAGATAGATAGATGGATGGATGGATGGATGGATGGATGGATGGATAGCTATTATTAGGGATAGATAGATAGATAGATAGATAGATAGATAGATAGATAGATAGATAGATAGATAGATAGATAGATAGATAGATAGATAGATAGATAGATAGATAGATAGATAGATAGATAGATAGATAGATAGATAGATAGATAGATAGATAGATCGACGGACGGACAGAAAGACGGACGGACGGACGGACATTATTAGGGAGGGATGGATGGCCATTGTTAGGGATAGATAGATAGATAGATAGATAGATAGATAGATAGATAGATAGATAGATAGATAGATAGATAGATAGATAGATAGATAGATAGATAGATAGATAGATAGATAGATAGATAGCTATTATTAGGGATAGATAGATAGATAGATAGATAGATAGATAGATAGATAGATAGATAGATAGATAGATAGATAGATAGATAGATAGATAGATAGATAGATAGATAGATAGATAGATAGATAGATAGATAGATAGATAGATGATAGATAGATAGACGGACGGACAGAAGGACGGACGGACATTGTTAGGGATGGATGGATGGCCATTATTAGGGATAGATAGATGGATGGATGGACGGACGGACGGATAAATGGTCATTATTAGAGATGGATGGATGGATGGAATCAAAGATCTAGAATACCTTCGTCAAACTCACTTACTTTCTTGCCAGTTTTTCCTTGTCACTGAGAAATGATCATTATGCATCTCATTATAATAAATCTGTTTCACAGGTACCTTCTTTGCTCATCTTGCCAACAATCCACTTATCTGCAGCCAATATAGGACACCTCTAAGTCACCCTTTCTCTGTAGATCGTATGTCCTACAGCAGAGCTGAACTCTTCTTCTCAGGATTAGAGAGTAATTGAATGGGATAGAATGTCAGAGTTACCCCCATCAGGATTAGGAAACACGGGAGGTCATGGGGCAATGAGGGGGGGTTGCTTGGTGATTTCTGAAAATCTAATTAATTTTTATTAAACTAAAAGACTTACCATATGTTATCCATAACCTACAGAATCTAAAAGTAGTTCATAGTTTAAAAACAACATGTAAATAAAAAGCCATCAGCCTTTCAGTTATTTTTTTCCCCATTGGATTGCGACCCTTTGGGTCATTATATTAAAGACACAGCAATAGCATCAAATGCAGCAGATTAAACTTTTTTAATTAAAAAAATTATTTTGGGGGTTGTGGGCTAAAAAGTTTGGGAACCCCTGCTTTTTTTTTTTTTTTATGTTTTAGTAATCGACAAAATTCGTAACCACGCCCTTTTACTGTTAGTTTGCTGAGAGCAAATGATGTGTAAAATGAAAAACCCCTCCCCCTTCTCAATATTCAGTTTCAGTTGGAAGTACCTCAACATGGTGAAAGAAGTCTCAGCAACTTCCAGTTCATGTGAACAGTTTGCAATCATAATCTTAAATATGGCTTGCCATTTTGGAGCCCCCTTACCACCGTTGGTGCATGTCTAAATACCCAACTTAAACCCCTGATTTGCTTGACATGGTGAAATGGAAGGCCTGGTATATTCTTAGCTTGTGTTAAGAATAAAGATTAAAGAGTGCCAGTGAACACAACTAGTAATCTACAAGCATATCTATCATCTCTTCCAGGCCAACAAGCTCCGCACCAAGACCCTACGCAACACTCTTAACCCTGTCTGGAGTGAGACCCTGACGTATTATGGAATAACAGATGAGGATATGGTTCGCAAAACTCTCAGGTAACCAATTACAATCTGTCAATTGGATATTGTGAAGTAGGGCCTCAATTTTTGCTCAATTTAATTGACAAAAGAACGGGACCCTTTTGTTGATATAGTTAAGCAACAGTTGTTTACCCAATAACGTGCATTTGATACATAATGAGTAGAGGTGTAATGGTATAATCTGTACCTAAAATCAATATAAATTCTTCATTATATCCTTATATTTGATGTTTTAATTTGTTTATTCAATGCTGTTTCAGTTGATGTATGAGTAAAACTTCATTAGATATTATATAAAAAACACTACCATGCGATAAAGGTTTTGGGGCACTTCACCAGCTGGCCTTGATTACACTCAACCCCCTACACCTCGCTTCAATCCTGGACGAGCCCCCAAGTGTAATCTGCCAGTCGCCACCCAACCCATTCAGAGCTGGGATCCAACCGGCAATTCTTTGCATGGGATTCGGGCACAGGTCTGTCGCTAGAGCACCTTTAGAGGTCAGAAGAGTGAGGTTTACCTTAACAGCACTTCACTAGCTGGCATCCATTACAAATGTTAAATAAGTTAATGATTGTTTATTCTGTATTTCATCTCGTGCAGTAGCTAGAGTGATGCAGTTTCATTATTGTAAATTAAATTAATGTTCTGATCTCAAACCCTCAATGGTCAGCAAGAACATTTTGAAAATGAAACTGACACTTGATGTACAAAACGTTGGAGACCCATAGTATTTCACCAACAAATGAAGTGGAGTTAAAACTTTGTTCATATACTTATAACTTGCCTAGTTAGCCTAATTAACCTAGTAAAGCCTTTAAATTACTTTTAAGCTAAATACTAGTATTTTAAAAATATCTAATAAAACATTATGTATTGCCGTCTTGGCAAAGATAAAATAAATAGATAATAGTTATTAAAACTATTATGTTTAGAAATGTGATTTTAAAAAAAATCCTATTTTCGTTAAACAGAAATTTGTGAAAAAATATAGAGAAGGGCTAATAATTCTGACTTTAACTGTATATATATATATATATATATATATATATATATATATATATATATATATATATATATATATATATATATATATATATATATATATATATATATGTATGTATGTATATTCCCAATACTGAACGATTTCTTTAAATCTGACCATACTTCTTATGGTCAGGTGTACCATTACACCTCCACTAATGAGCGGAAAAACAAAGTTTCCGTGGCATATAGGTGACATCGAAAGAAAAGGATAACAAGGATTTGGAGGAAGAAAAAAAAAGTGGCACACGAAGCAAAAGAACTTAATAAGTTTAATGAGGGCTTTTCAGAAATGTCAGTGGTGATTGAGCTGAGATCCCATTATAATAATAAAAAAGAGAGAATATAGATGTTTTTCTTAATTAAGTGTCCATGGTTACATGATTCCCATGATCCAGTTGTAATTGGGCGGGTCGGGGCCCACATGTGGTGCAGGACTTGAGAACTAATTAAAAGCAGAACAACCATTTGCTTTCAAAGGCTTCAATGAATCTTGGAGCGCTGCCATACATTAGGCTCTTAGGGCATTTATCAAATTGAAAAGCACAGGTAAAGGACTGGTGATGGAGGTATAAGAGTACTTCCCGCAGAACTGAAAGAGTCCATGTGGTTTTGTTGTTCATGAAATCTGTTTGTTCTTGTATTCTGGATTAATGCAAAATATTGAGTTTATTTTGTAAAGTCGTGTAAGATGGATGTTATTTGACCCTTTGAAGCAACCATGAGGATCTAATCACCACAGCTATCTGCATATGCCATTCCAGTTCCCTTAACATGTTTAACTTGCCAGCAGAAAGAGGATTAAAACATCCATTGGTAGTTTCAAAGGGTGAGATTTACTAACAACTTTTGCCAATGTAAATCCTTTTTTTGGCATTATAAACTTGAAAACTCAGGATTTACTGAAGACACGCAGTGAAACATTAATGCCAAAAAAAGTTGTGGAAAGATTTTTGCAGCTGTTCTTAACTTGGTTTACTTGGGTACTCAGATTACTAATATTCACACCATTGCAGTATTTAAGGCCATCTGTCATTGCATTATTCTGTGTTGTTAGTTGATTACATGCACCTTTTTATCATAATTTTCATTATTGTTCAAATATTTCCCAAGTTCCCAAGATGTCAACATGATGTTAGATTGACGTTGTACTGCAATGTTGGGGACATTTCATTTTGTTTGGAAATGAAAATCAGGTTGACGTCAGAACCCAATGTCAGGCCCACGTCAATGTCTAATCTAAAATCTACTAAATATGAACGTCTAATGATGGTACAGCTAGACGTTGTGTGGACGTTACCACTTAGATGTCAATCAGATATTAGATTTTGGTTGCCATACCTGATAAATAAATGTTAGTATTACATGCTAGCTGGCAGCTAGCTCTCTGCAACTCTCACATGGTCGCCCATTGAAGCTAAGCAGGGCTGCACCCGGTCAGTACCTGGATGGGAGACCACATGAGAAAGCTGGGTTGCTGCAGGAAGTGGTGTTAGGTAGGGCAGCAGGGGGCGCCCAACCTGCTGTCTGTGTGGGCCTGGATGCCCCAGTATAGTGACGGGGACTCTATACTGCTCAGTGAGCACCGTCTTTCGGATGAGACGTTAAACTGAGGCCTCTATGTAATGATAATAGTTAAACAAGGCAGTTTGTTTATCTTTTAGGTTGCTGAAACAATCATTTGCTCCTTTGTTTTTTCCGGTTTCCTCTTTGTTTTTTCACTCGTCACTCTGAAAGTATTGGATGTCAGAAACACTTTAATAATCACGCGCACATTATTATCATACACTCACGAAGTTCGTTGTTTCAAATATAGACGCGTGGCGAATGCACCCGAGAAAACGAAACCTCTCGCACTTAAGACAACCTTTTAAACAACTACGGGGCACAGATATTCTGCTCTTCTTCTTGGCTTTGTGGCTGTTCATCAAGACGGGTTGACCATGGCTGGTTCGTTCATTTATTTTTTTTCTTTCCGGCTTAGTCACTTTATTAATCTGGGGTTTATTCCCACCACAGCGGACCCACCACAGCACCACCAACTTATCCAGAACATTTTCATGCAGCGGATGCCCTTCCAGCCGCAACTTATCTCTGGGAAACATCCACACACACTCATTCACACACACACACACACACACACACACACACTCATACACTACGAACAATTTAGCTTGTACCGCATGTCTTTGGATTGTGGGAGAAACCGGAGCACCCAGAGGAAACCCACATGAATGCAAGGAGAACATGCAAACTCCACGCAGAAACGCCAACTGAGCCAGCCGAGGCTCTAACCAGCAACTCTGCGACCTTCTTGCTGTGAGGCGACAGCACTACCTACTGCGCCACTGCATCCCCCCATGGCTGGTTATTATATGTATATAATGTAATATTCTTAGTATTATTACGGTGAAACGTCTCGGCTGTGTATTTAAAAAAGGCTGGCTTGTTGCACGAGCGAGTGTCGCATCACTGTAATCCAATAGCGTTCAGCTGCACGTCTAGCTCCGCTTTTTGGTACCCTTTTATTGTGCAAGGTACCCTTTGCAAAGGTTTCCCAAAAAGTGGTTCGCTTTTAGGTACCTTTTAACAGTGACAATGGTCATAAAAACCCACCGAACCATACCTCTCAGTGGTAATGGGCCATAAGAACAGTAATTTCACTCGCCAACCATTTTTGAAATGTCTCTCGGGCAGTGCACTCGAGCATCTGTTTGAATTGGGAAATATCAAATTCTTAAAAATTGCTTGCCATCTTACAATTGAAATTCATATCAGGAATCACCAATAAAATTAAACAACTTTTCGGTTTCATTTCTAAACGTTCAAATCACACAAAATCTGCAGAAACTCACATCTGGTCCTAGTCCTTCCTTCGGAAAATCCTCAGCCTATAGAGTTTGATGATTGGCTACTGTAATAAAAGGCAGCACTTCATTTGCCACAATGACCGTTACACTTTTTCCCATTCAGATCTATACGAGTGACACGTCTTGTGTATTCTATAGTCTTTGTCTATAGTCTAGTTGGCATGACAATGGCTAAGTGGTAGAACCACTTCCACTGCGTCTTGCATTTTCAGATGCTAAAGACACATTCTCTGTGAATGGCTCCTCAGTTGTTGCACTGCTGTGGTCTTTTCTAGTGACAGCTCATCTGGACTGAATTCATCTCTCACATTCACACACACTTATACCACATGTTTTTGGACTATAGGAGAGACCGGAGCACCTGGAGGAAATCCATGCCAACGCGGGGAGAACATGCAAACACAGTATACCATAGGTCTCAAATTCAATTCCTGGATAGCCGCAGCTCTGCACATTTTAGCTCAAACCCTAATTAAACACAGCTGATGCAAATAATCAAGGTGTGCAAGACTAATAGAGATTAGTAAGCAGGTGTTAGTTGGAAGTGGTTGGAGCTAAACTAGGAATTAAGTTTAAGACCACTGCAGTAAACCAATTAACTTAATGTTAAAGACTTTTTGCTGAAGGTTTTTTTTTGTTGTTGTTGTTTTGCCACCTGACTTTTTAGACCTCTCACTATAATGCCCTGCATCATAAATCAAAGCAGCAATTTCTAGCAGACTTTGGACTGAGTACTTTTACTGCTAATCAAGCTAAAATGACTCACTTTGAATAACTTTTCCTTGTCACATTTATTATTTTGGCCACTGCTTTTTTAAGTCATACGCAATGTCGCCTAGTGATTTCACCCCAGCTGAGATGTCAATGAGCCTTTCTGAGTGACATTTAGTGCCTTACAAACATGACTGGAGCAAAAAAAGGGTTCTTTCACAGAGCTTGCCTGTTTAGTTTGGTGATTGAAATGCTGCATTAGGATAATAGCACAGACAAAGTGGCAGTAAAGATTACACCACGGAGCAACATTAGTCTCCACTTGCGTGTATCATTACATAACAGCTGTGTTACACAAACAATATCCCTCCTATCTATTAAAAGCAGAT